TCTTTCCTTTTGTTTCTTTTTCCTAAAACTTTCAAAAAACAAAGAAACTATCTGACTCCATTCTTTTTTTTTTTTTTAAATTGGCAGCTGGCGACCGAGATAAAAATTGCTGCGGTGTGCATGGTTGGGTGCGTGGCTCTTGACTCTAGATCTGACAAAGCCATTGTACGATTAAAAGAACCATAACACACTTTCTTTCTTGGCCCATCCTAGCATTTTCAATGTCCTACCACATTTGTCTTTATGGTCTTCACTGGGTTGTGCTTGTAATGCACAGGTGATGCAGGACAAGCAAGGTGATAGATCTGGTCTACCTCTAGCAATTGGGACTCCATGACGCCTTTTCTTCTTTAAGGAAAATGATCTTTTTACTTTCCATGCTGCTGGAATTAACAGTTATTGATTCGTTATTGTTAGATTTGAGATACCAATAGATTTTTTAAGAAATTTCTTTTTCTTAGTAGTGGTTTTGGGTTTCGTGGCGTCGTTGCTGCTATTCAAAATGAAATTTTGAAGTTTTGAAGGAGATGGGTTTTTGGGATTGAAGAAAAGAAAATGGAAATTAATGGACGAATAGACACACAATAGGTTGCAATGTGTTCTATTATTAGGTACACAACATGTCCAACATTTTCTATTATTATTAGGTTCCCATGTAAGATGCACTTACGTGGCTTAACTTGCTCACTTTACGTATTTCACTTCCCATTTTTTAATGTGATCAGACGTGCATATAGCACAAAAAAATTAAGGTTATGAGGCCACAAATTCGAAAGTATAAGAGACCACAGGACTTTTATGTATAAGTTTAAAAGTAAATTTATATATTTGATTGATATAAATTATAGTTTTGTAAGAATTCATATACTAATCAGTGTGTAATAAAATTTATCTAGATATGATCCAACATCTGTCCATAGATCTAAATCAATTAAATAAAAATTTTTAATAATTATTTCAATTTTATTTTTTTCTACAATAAATGGACATAAATATCTTTATTTCATTAAAAAATTATTTTTCATTATTTTCGATACATGAGTGAACCTACAAATTGAATCTATGTAAATCATTATCGTGACTATAAATGGTTTGTAAATTGGACGCTGATAGGTGGAACGATTCATTCCACCGCACAAACATTTTATAATGTTAAAATGGGCCACGGTAAAGCACTTGAGTTACATTGCACATAAGTTATGTAGGAGGGTAGTATATGTAATTTGATGTTTAAGTGGAGGGGTAATGATGGCAGAAAAAAAAAACAAAATAGGACTGTTATTGGATCTCTTTTCTAGAAGACAACTCTGCGAAACCTTCGTCTATCATTGCTCCCTTTCACGAAATCAAATCAGCTCTGAATCCCTGTACATTATAAATCTATAATTCCCATGGAAAGAAACCCAGCCGAGGCATGGAGGTGGGGCTGTTTAAAACACAAAGCAACCCATAGACAAATTAGAGTGGAAGAGATCACGTTTCGATGAAGAATGACCATAAGAAAATGGAGGGAGAGTTCTAGAAGCAAAAATTCGAGAGGCTTATCTGGAATGACAGTGGAGTATACAAATTGGAAGAGATTATACAAAGCTGAATCTTATGGTGTTTCGGCTAACATATGTCCTTCCGATTTGCTCTAGCTTGAAATACGCAGCTCCCTTTTCAATCAATTTCCCCCCTAAACTGACGGCACAATATTTTTCTGTTATAAATGGATGATGCAATTACAATGGTACCCTTTCTCTCTTCAATGACGCTCATCCGTATACCAAGAGTATGTACTATGTAGTTATAGTTTTTATTATACACGGGTCCATTTTGTACTTAAAACACAATGTAATAGTATCGTGATTTGGAACGAATCGTTCCGCAGATTATTTCCGTTGTAAATTTTTCTTTTTAGTCTATAGCATTTGTATTTGAAAGTCCACCGGACTTCAATTACATTTGACTCGATTACTGTAGCTCATATAGAAGCCACTCTCTTAGCATTGTAATTTTTCATACCCAAGTAAATAGTTTGTAAATTAACTCTCCCAATATGGTAATTTTTCATACCCAGGTAAATAGTTTGTAAATTGTTTTGGATAGATAGGAGGCCGAGTGGATCTAGAGAACATATAGCCTATACAGTAAACGTAATCCTCCCATTTGAATAAATTTTACTAAATTGGTTATAACTTTTGTGGTGGGGATGATTCGAACTCGAGATCTCTCACTTTTCACATCTTCTATAAGACATGAGAAAAAAGACCAACTAGATCACATCTAATTAAATACTTTGTAAATTTAATAACACATAATTCATCAATCATGTTACACTTTTAAACAACCACTTCCTTCGTCTCAAAATTTAAATCATTTAAGGTTTTTGCACGAGAATTAAGAAAGTAATTAAGAAATCATATTAACAATCTAAGATTTTGACCAAATTACCATTTATCTCAAAATCAAAGGTAATTTATGAGTTAGATTCGTTTATCTCGAAACTAAGGATAACTTATGAAATTAGTTATTATATCTAATATAAGTAAAAGTAAAATCATAATAAAATAATTTATTATTTTTTTAAAATATTCAAAACTTTTTATTTTTGAGGACTTATATCACATATATTTTGACATGGAGAGGTTATAACTACAACTAACTTTTTTTTTTTTTTTTTTTTTTTTTTTTGATTTTGACCGAAATACCATTTATCTCAAAATCAAAAGGTAATTTATGAGTTAGATTCGTTTATCTCGAAACTAAGGATAAACTTATGAAAATAAGTTATTCATATCTAATATCAAGTAAAAGTAAAATCAATAAACATCAATTTATTATTTTTTTAAAATATTCAAAAAAACTTTACATTTTTTGAGGCTTATATCACATATATTTTGACATGGAGGAAGGTTATAACTACAACTACTTTTTTTTTTTTTTTTTTTTTTTTTTTTTTTTTTTTTTTTTTTAACTTTTACCGTTTCGTTCAATTTTAGGCCAGTCGGTGCAATTAAAGAGTTTGAAAGCTGATTTTCCTCGTGAGCTATGATGACATATTTTTGTCGTCCTCTCCCTCTTCATACACAACTTTTTCTTTTCTTAAAAATTAGAAATCCAGCAGTTACATAAATTTTCTGTTGACAACTAAGAGTCGCTGGAAAACACAACAGCTTACAGTTTCAATATCTAATGAAAAAAGAGAGTGCCAAGTGGGATATCCAAGGGCCAAGTGTACTACTAATTCATTGCATGGCAATATGCATGTAAGGAGTGGAGCATCCAATTGCCAAGCGGCACACTCAAGGGACAATTGTTGTGCTTTAAGCCATTACATGACAATTAACAACACTACAAAGCTTCCTCTACTTAACACTATGTTTGGTTTGAAGGATGGAGAAGGTGGAGGTAAAAGGGGCCAAAATCAAAGATAAGACTTGTTTGGTTTGTTGGTTTAATAAAATTGCTTCTTCTTATTATTATTAACTTCTATTTGTTTCTCATTGTTCCAATAACAACATTGAAAAACAATAACTGCTTAATCAACATAAGACCTATACTTAGAGTCTGATCAATAAAATTAGTTATTTTAGTAGCTTTTAACTGTTAATTAAATAGCTTTATAAGACGCTAAACTTTACAAAGATTAACTTTTTATAAACGTTACATTAATCTCTAAAAACCAATTCAAACGTTATGTTACCAACACTATAAAAAATAGTATTTAATGTTTTCACTTGTCAAAACGTTAAAAGCTACTTAAAATAGAACGTGCACCAATACTAAAAATTTGACAATTGACTCAGTTTGAATGCCCTCTCCAATACTAAATAATAAGTATATATGGAGTAAATGAGACTATTAATATTTTTTCACCGAAAGAAAATAGAAAAAAAATGAATGGTGATAAATTTTTCAACCCAATAATGTTTGTATGTCTTTCAAAAAATGAACCAAATATTAGAATTTAATGTAAAATTATAAGAAAGTAGATCAATAGATAAATGCTATATATAAGAAGTGTGTGAATTGCAATTTGCAAACACCCATTTCAGAAAGGTGAAAAAAATATAATCATCTTTAAATTTTTTAGGGAATCATGGGTGTCTTATTAAGAAGGAAAACAGAGAAAAAATTGTTCGAAATTCAATTTTGAAGGGAATAACAAATTTAGGAAATTTAATTTTTAAGGAAATAGTGATACTGAAATATAATTTTTAGGGAATCATTATCATTTAAATCATTTAACCAAAACAATCTTATTTTAGTATTGAATACCCAGACAATTTACAAGATTTTCTCAACCAAATAAAAAAAAAATTTTGAAATTTTAGAGAGTTTCTCTACTGAAGGATGCGCCACATCAGTAATCAGGAGAACACAATAATTTTTTATTTATTTATGAAAACGTAAAATATATAAAATAAAATAAATATAATACTATCGTATACATTGATTTTTAATTAAAAATTCTATTCATCCATTCTAAAAAAAAAAAAAAAAAAAAAAAATTTCTCGCGGCAAATCAGTAATCAGGAGACACACAATAATTTTTATTTATTTATGAGAAACCGCTCATATATAGAACCTCCACAAATAAATATATACTATCGTGAGTACAAATTGATTTTTGAATTAACCATTCTCTTTGCTGATCCATATCCTGAGAGACCCAACACCCAAAAAAAAAAAAAATGTGTTCACGCCTTTCGTACTATTAATAGGCAGAATTTTCCGGTACCGTTTAGTTGGCAATCTATTGAGTTCATTAATTACCCAAACAGAGGAAGGATGAATCATCTTTCCCTCCCTCGTTCATATTTTCATTTTCCATCCCTGAGGAGCGCAGAGACAAAGCATGAAAAGAGAAAAAACAAATTAAAAAAAAAAAAAAAAAAAAAAAAAATTTGTTCACCCTTGTACTAATTAATCAGGCAAGAATTTTCCGGTACCGTTTAGTTGCATCTATTGAGTCATTAATTACCCAAACAGAGGAAGGATGAATGCCATCTTTCCCTCCCTCGTTCATATTTTCATTTTCCATCCCTGAGACCAAACAAAACATGAAAAGAGAAAAAACAAAAAAAAAACAAAAGCCGGTATGAGTGGATGGTAGGCGGCCAAGGAATCCCACCAAGAAACAGAGATTCCTCCGCCAGTTTCAATTGACCCTTTGACGGTTCAAACCACCAGAATCCAATCTACAGTACGTGGGTCCTAACTCTTCTCTTCTAAGTACATTATTCACCAACACCCACTACCACCACCCCCACCGTCATCATCACCACTGCCAAACACCTAACATCCAAAGAACCCCTTATAAGGCCCTCGTTACTCTCTGTCTCTTGCTCGCTTGTTTACCCCACCGCACATGTTCTAAGGTCTCTTTCTCACCTTCTTTCTATTCATACGAATCTTGAATTCACTTTTGCAAGATCTCTTTACTGCTTATTATCATATTCTGCTTTGCTTCTTTCAAGATATTCATTTTCTTGGATCTGTTATTTTATGTGAAGCTTTCTTTTTCTTGCAGATTCAAGTAAAGGGAAGATGAAATTTGCTGTTTGCTCTTCTTCTTCTTCTTCTTCTTCTTCTTGTTTGGATCTTAGAAGTCTTTGTTTCAATGGTCTTAAGTGCAATACTGCCAATTTTCAATATACAAAACCATTTATGGGAATTGGGTTCTTTACCAAGAATGAGAATGTTCAAGAATCTTATTGTAATTGTAAAAGAATGGTGGTTTCTAGCCATTTAATACCTGGCCATCTTGAAGGGTCTTTCATGGGAAGGAAAAAGCTGGAGGAGTCTAGTCCCAAGCTGGAAGTTGTGAGGACACTATTGATTGATAATTATGACAGTTACACATACAACATTTACCAGGAGCTTTCTGTTGTTAACGGGGGTAATTATTTTTCTTATTTGGCTAGCTATCTTTTCTTGCTATTCTTTTGTTGTACTCAGGTGGAATTTTTTTTTTTTATTCGAAGCATATTCATAATGATATAGCATATATTTTGACATTTTTTTTCCAAATTTATTTCAGTGCCTCCTGTGGTGGTGAGGAATGATGAGTGGACATGGGAGGAAGTTTGGCACTACTTGTACGAGGAACAAGCATTTGATAATGTTGTAATATCACCTGGGCCTGGTTCTCCAACATGTGCAGCTGATATAGGTACGACTAAGAAGCTAATGTGTTATAAAATAGAAAAAAAAGGATGTCTACTGAAATATTTATATTTATTATAATATAATATAAATATACCAGTTCCCATCCCTTTTCTATTTTAAAATGCAGCAGTTGAAATACTTAAAGTGGAAGCAAAATATGGCAATTGTAGGATCCTCTGCTTAGGCCAAAAATTTGTTGGAGACTGGACATGATACAGTGGACTTGAATTATGACATACGCTCTGTCTATATTTGTATTTTTTGAGATGGCATCTATTTCACCTACTTGTCACTGCAATTAAAGTTGTAAATGACACTGTTTGTTGTTTGTTATTGTTATTAGATGGGTATATGTGGTATTGAATTTTGATTATTGAGATCTTGCAAGGCCTGAAAATGCAGTGGAGAAATCCTTTAGCTGAGTTTCAGAAGGGGTCCTTGTCCAAACTTGTAGATTTTCACTCTTCAATGCAATAATGATGATATTGCAAACAGAGTTTATTTTACTATTTATATTTGTGTGAAGTTTATGTGATTCCATTTTTAGAGTCCATTTGAATCTTACAGGAATATGTCTTCGGTTGCTGCTTGAGTGCAGGGACATTCCTATTTTGGGTGTTTGTCTTGGACACCAGGTATTTTTAATTGTGCCCTGTTTATGCTGCTTGCACTTCTTTTTTTATTGACCATTACTGCTGGTTTATATTTCTATGAACTAAAATGTTATTGTCAAGTTCCTTTGTTATTTTTTGGTTGAAACAGTCCTCCCATTTGTATGTTTATTAACTTTCCCTTCCTGTGGACAAATCTTTTACTAAAATCTCTGTGTTACTGCTGAATTTAATAAGACTTTTAATATCGCAGGCTTTGGGTTATGTACATGGTGCTCAAATTGTCCATGCATCTGAACCGGTCCATGGGCGTATGAGGTAAATTGAATAAATTATCTGGTTTATCTTGTTTGATATTTGGTAGTGCAGTTCAATTGGTATTGACAAATTGTTTTTGGTTTCTCACACCATGGTTTGGGAAACAGCTAGATTTCTTAGCTATTCCCAACCCATGATTTATCAAAAACAGTAAAAAATTAAAAAAAAAAAAATCCAAATGCAGTTCTGAAAAGTACATCTAAAATCAATTCCAGTTGGAGCCTTGGTTGTACATTACATTGTTGGTATTATGAATTGAATCTATCTTTTGGATTTGTGTTGTCGTTGAGACTTTGACTATTACACATCATCCATGGTAAAGTATAGCATAGGTTTTATTCATGAATAAAGTGTTATTCATATTTCCCATATGGTTTTATATGCAATTCTTTTCCCTTATAATTGATGTTATTATTCATGCCTTACAGTGAAATTGAGCATGATGGGTGCAGACTCTTCCAAAATATTCCTTCTGGCAGAAAATCTGGATTCAAGGTTAGTTTCTATACTTATGTGAGAAAGGAAAATAAGTCCTTATAACAACTTTTTGAAATAGGAAAATAACTGCATTTGTTGCTACACTCTTTTACATACAATGTTGTGATATTTGACTTTTTTTCAAGAGATGTATATCTTAAAATAGCTCTTTTTTTTTTTTTTTTTGCTCTTTTTCTTCTTTTCTGTTATTTCGTAGTATTTCATGCTCAATCTGATACAATATAAAAAAAAAAAAAAAAATTAGCAAGGTTATCATGACGAGACAGTTAAGAGACTGATTTCAATTAAAAGAATACAATAACATTTTCTTCTTAATGAACAAATTGGAAGAACGCTTTAGAGCTAGGAAACTTGAATAATGAGAATAAAAATGTTGTACTACAGGTTAAATTATCTGTAACTGAATTGCTAGATTTATTTTGTCAAACAGATGAATGTAGAAAAGAATTATGCTTGTATGCTTTCCTGTTCTATTCTTAGAATTTCTGTACTTTTAAGTATTACAAGGTTGAAGCTACTCCCTTAGAATTATCAGGATGGCTTCATAGTTCATTTGCTTTTATTGGGGCCCATGTGGTGCTTTTGATCATCGCAACTAAATGGTTTTTGCACTTTGATTATAATAGGTGGTTCGATATCATTCTCTTGTTATAGATGCAGAATCACTCCCAAAGGAACTTGTACCAATTGCATGGGCTACAACTACTGGCACACATTCTTTCCTTGAGTCTCAGAAGTCTGATCTTATGCCTGGAGCCTCTGAGAGTCAGATTAGACCAAGCATTTCTTTTGATATTTTTTCACCAGAATTAAATAATGGAACTTCTTGGTCATTTAACCACTCTAAAGAAGTGCAAAGCAAAAGAATTCTCATGGGCATTATGCATTCCACCAGGCCTCACTATGGTTTACAGGTTTGTCATAATATTGTCTTGTAGCCTGTAACCCCTGATTTGCTTTCCTGTGAGTTACATTTTTTTTTTTTTTTTTTTTTTTTTGACCAGGGAGACATTAATCTTTTGATATTTTGGCTTCTATCCATGAACAACTCACACTGCGCAACTGTTCATGTGTCATTTCAACCACTCTAAAGACCAGTTCATAAGCAAAAAGATTCTCCTGGGTCTTGACCTGCTTGCGCACCCAGGCCAGGCTCATCCCATGGATTTACAGGTTTGTCATAATATGTCTTGTAGCCTGTAACCTGATTTGCTATGCCTGTGAGTTACATTTTTTTTTTTTTTTTTTCATTCTTCGGAGTTCCCATCCAGAGACCGTATTGCAACCTGCCCTCCATGGAGGCAAATACTTTTTTTGAAAACTTTCAGAGACATGACACGAGAATTTATTGGGGAGAGATTCAGCTGTCAACATTTGTTAGCGCAGAGAGACTGCTCCTTCATATACTGAGATATCGAAACTCTTTAGAGCCAGATGTTATGGCTTTTTGTAAGTGAAATGTGTTGATCTCTTCTCTTGCGTAGGTCTCTGTATTTACTGACATGTGTGGACATATATTTAGGGAGGGGCCTGCAGCTTGACACGGGTAGAGATGTTTTCATTTTTATGGACTAGAATTTCATTTGAGTTTGAGTGACGAGCACAGCTTCCCAGCAAAGAAGGCAAGGAATTCTGTGTATTCTATGATAGTATGATCATGCCTGTGAGTTTTTTTTTTTTTTTTTTTTTTTTCATTCTTCAGTTTCATCCAGAGAGTATTGCAACCTGTCATGGGAGGCAAATATTTGAAAACTTCAGAGACATGACACGAGATTATTGGGAGAGATTCAGGTCAACATTTGTTAGCGAGAGAGATGTCCTCTATACTGGTAAACTGAAACTCTTTTAAGCCAATTTATGCTTTTTGTAAGTGAACTTGTTTTAATCTCTTCTCTGCTAGGTTTCTCTGTTTTCACATGCATGCATATATTTAGAGGGTGAGCTTTGACACGGTAAGTGTTTTCATTTTTATGACTAGAATTTCATGAGTTTGAGTGACGAGCACAGCTTCCCAGCAAAGAAGCAAGGGGAATTCTGTGTATTCTATGATAGATGATCATTCCTTGAGTTTGTTAAGCAAGGTGCACTGTCTATTGGGGATTACTGTACATTTTGGTTTTGTCCTACTCCTGCTGGCATGCCTACGTACTTTTTTTTGGATTAAAAATATTTTGTATATTAAAAACCTGAGGTGCTTATTCATTGCAACAACTTATTGATAAACATAGTGGCCCAGCATGACCTTCTACAACCTACATATGCATTGATTAATGGTTCACTCTCCTTCCATATCTTTCAGTTTCTTCTGGAACTATTTGGCATTAGTCTGCCATGACTCGTAAAACAATACCATTTACATTTGGATAATGCATCTTTAACGCCATGGTTAATTATGTTTTTTGTGTTTGAACTTTTTAGTTTTTTCTATTTTGGTGTCTAAACAGAAAATATTTGCAGTTAAGTGTTGGAATTAATAAGTTGGTACAATTAAGTAAATGTAGCCGGAATTTCTCACTTGAAAATCAAAATGAACTATTTTACAAATTGCTTTTCTTTATTTATTTTTCTTGATTATTACCTTCTTTTTTTATTTGTTTTCCTTTCTTTTTTGTTTATATTGTTTTGGAATTGAAAGAAATTATATAGAACTTTTGAGACCTTTGTAGAGAAAAGAGATATAAGACAAAAAAAAAAAAAATTAAGAAAAATGTAAAAAGAGAGATGAATTGAATGAATGTGCATGTTTGATATCATGTGTTGAGTAAAATTGTCTAATTTAATGTCTGGCTAAATATCCAGTCAAATACACTTCATTATAGTTTTTTTAATTGTTCAGACACTTAATTGCAAATTTTTTTCGGTTCATACACCAAAATAGGAAAAATAAAAAAAAGTTCAGACAACATAAATTTAATTAACCCTAATGCCATTAATTTCCTCTGAGCAATAAGTTCTTTTAGCATGCACGCAGGTGCCTCATGCTAGTCAGCTGTATGGAGTTCCTAGAACTGTGTCAGTAGAATGCATTGAAGATTCTCGACCCTTTAGGGAAACTTCAAGAAGAAAGCAATTAATTGGCAATCCAGATGAGAAGACTCGTTTTAGCATCCCCAGTATATTGAGTTTTCCAAAATCAAACATTAATGTAAAGCATTTGATGTTGAAATGGAGGAAGTTTGATCAGTTGCTGGCACAAGTCGGTGGAGCAAGAAGTATATTTTGCGAATTATTTGGGGCTAACAAAGCTAATAATACCTTCTGGTTGGACAGTTCCTCGGTAGAAAAGGTTTTCCTCTTACGGCTAAAATAATCTATAAGCTAACAATTGCAATTCTCAGTATCTTTGATTATTAGTATCTAATGAAGAATATTTTATTTTTTTTTTCTCTCGTTGCTAATAATGAGCAAAAATTTGGTGCTTAAGAGCATCCCTTTAGTAGTATGGTCATACTACCGATGCTTTCTTTAATAAATAGTTTTTGCTCATCTGATCATCCTGGTTTTGTCGGTGGCCTTAACCAGAACTTCCTTTTGGAATCACTATTTGGTATGAAATTGGGTAGATAATGGAGAAGATTAAACTTTGACCAGGTAGTCTGTATTTGCTTGAGTGATGTCATTGAATGTTTGACATGCATAAGTAGACACATTATTATATAAACATTGGCTTCAAACTGCTGGAGAAACTTGTTTATGGAGCCATATGAGTCTGCATTTATATTGATTGATACATGTAGTTATAGATGCTGAAGTTTACCTGCTAACTGCCAATGAAGATTAGTTTTGAATTTTGTTTGGCAATATGTGTGATTGGAAGAATATGTAAACTCAATTGAAGAAAGAATCAACACAAGTACTTTACAGTTTTGTGATTTTATAGGTTGAACACCATTTTATATTTCGTCTTGGTAAATTTATTGGTTATTGTTATCATCATCAGCCTCACTATAATTATCATTTTTCCATGCTAGATTTCTGATATGTATTGTTATCATCATCAGCTTCATTATAATTATTATTTTTCCATGCTAGATTTCTGATATGTTTTTGTGCTTTGAATGCTTAGAGAAGGGCACGCTTTTCTTTTATGGGGGGTAAAGGTGGATCACTTTGGAAGCAAATGACATTTAGATTGTCAGATCAAAGGTTTGTTCAAATTAGTCTTATCAGCTATTTTGCAAAATACTTGAAATCTTTTTTTGGTTTTTATATGTACTCTAGTGGTGAGTCTGTTATGGTTTCATTGTATTAAATATCCAGTTAGGTATCTGAGTGCTTCTTCCTATACTGGCTGCAAGATTTTATATGAAAAAAGTAATGTGTCGTATATACCTTAGAAGGACAATGATCAATCCTGCATTAATTTTTCAGTGATACGACTTTTAAAAGTGGCGGTTATTTGTCAATTGAAGATGCTCGAGGCTCTACTAATAGCATTTATTTGGAAAATGGTTTTCTTGATTTTTTGAACCAGGTAATAATTGCATGATTCCTATGGGTTTATTTGCATGCTGTTGCCAATTTGTATTGAGAACCTCATGTTCATGTGGCTTCATTCTAAAGCAATATCCGATTTGATTTGCCAAGAAATGCTCATACTTTTAGCAATGCAGGACAAAAATACTTTCATCATCCATAACTTATATCATGCTTTAAAGTGGGATGTTAGTATTTCTAGAAAAAAAAAAAAAAAAGAACACTGTTTCTTTATTTTATTCAAATTGTAGGAAATAATATCCAGCAGATGGAAGCTGTGAGTATGTTGCACACATAGCTGTCCAATGTCAATCGAGTTCATGTATTCTTTAGAAATCATTTCCATGGAAATATAACAGCATGTGCCTTGCTGTAATATTCCGTGGACTCAACAAGAGTAACTTGATATTTATATTTCATTCATCTAGTCATCCATTCTGGCAGTGTTCTCATGTATGCTGTAAAAGGTTGGTAGTATTCTACTTAATGGCTACGATTTTTCATCACAAGGTCATGCTATCTCACAACCTTCTTAACATTATTGGATATTGCACAACCAATCATTATGTTTTTTCTCTTTTCTCTCCCTTCCGTTTTTCTCCTTTCTTGAAGGGGAGGGCACTGGGGACTTTGGTTGTGCATCTCTATGTGGGGAATGATACCCATAGTTCATGAACTGTTTTTAAATGTGTATGCCCCAAAAGGCGTATGCATCCTGGAGCTTCATGCACAAAGCATATAAACTGTGGGGAATAAAATATGTTTTCTACTGGTTTCACACGCATACTGAATAAAAGAATATACTTTTGTCTTAATATACTTCCTAGGTCGTTGCTTGATTGACCTTTCTTGTTACTTCTTCATAGGAACTCCTATCATTCCGTTATGATGAAAAAGATTTTGAAGGACTGCCATTTGACTTTTATGGTGGATATATTGGTTATATAGGGTAAGTTTATCCTGATTTGTGTGTTTTCAATCTTGTTTAATTGATGTCATGAATTTACTAGAGTTGTTTACATGTTAAATGTTTTCAATCTAGTTTGATTGGTGTCATGAATTTACTGGTGTTTGCTTTACATGTTAAATGAGCGCTCCTTGTCAAACATAATCTTCCTTTATATATATTTTTATGTAACATACACATACTTGTTTGAAATTTTTCTACAACTAATTGGCTTCCTCTCAATTGAGTTTTGTTGACCTTGCTTTGGCTGCTTAAGGGTAGCTTTAGAGCTGCAAACAAATTAAGGCAAGCCAAGCTCTCCCTTGTTCAGGCTTGGTCTGGTCATCTGAACCTAAGCTTGAATTTACTCAAGCTTGGATGAGCTTGGCAACTATTATTCAAGTTCATCTTGGACAAGCTTGCATGCTAGACTCTACTATGTATTCAGCATTCCTAGATTTACTGATATTAGTTCTGCCTTTTATTTATTTTCATTTTTATGCAGATATGGTCTTAAAGTTGAATGCGGCATGTTATCTAACCGTTTCAGATCTAAAACGCCGGATGCTTGCTTTTTCTTTGCTGATAATTTTGTAGTCATTGATCATCGTTATGATGATGTTTATATTATGTCCATACAAGAAGAAAGTGGAACCAATTCATCATGGTTGGATGATGTTGAACAGAAGCTTCTTCATTTAGAAGCTTCTGCTACAAGGAAGTTAGAGCAGCAGACATCACAACCCACAACATCTTTCCCATGCAAGGCAGGCTTTCATGCTATGAAGTCTAGAGAGCAGTACATGGAAGATGTGAACAAGTGTCTGAAATACATTAGAGATGGAGAAAGCTACGAATTGTGTCTCACTACTCAGATAAGAAAAAGAGTTCAAGATATAGATTCTCTGGGACTCTACCTTCACCTTAGAGAAAAAAACCCAGCACCATATGCTGCGTGGCTTAATTTTTCAAATGAAAATTTATGCATTTGCTGTTCTTCACCTGAAAGGTTCTTGCGTTTGGACAGAAATGGTATTCTGGAAGCGAAGCCCATTAAGGGCACTATAGCTCGTGGTGCAACAGAGGAAGAAGATGAACAGCTTAGATGGCAATTGCAATACAGGTATAAGAATATGCTCTCTCTCCCTCTCTCTCTGTGTGATAAGCAATAGATTTGCTTACTTCTCCTTGGGATGAACTGATTCTGACTCCCTCTCTCTCTCTCTCTCTCTCTCTAAACAGTGAAAAGGATCAAGCTGAAAATCTGATGATTGTTGATCTTTTGAGGAATGATCTTGGTCGAGTCTGTGAACCTGGCTCGGTTCATGTGCCACATCTTATGGATGTGGAATCATATGCAACTGTGCATACAATGGTCAGTACGATTCGAGGAAAGAAGAAGTCCAACATAAATGCAGTTGACTGTGTTAGAGCTGCATTTCCAGGTGGTTCAATGACAGGTGCTCCGAAATTGAGATCTATGGAACTTCTTGATTCACTTGAAAGTTGTTCCCGGGGTATTTACTCAGGTTCTATTGGATTTTTCTCATATAATCAAACATTTGATCTGAATATTGTGATAAGAACTATTGTAATACATGATGGTGAAGCTTCAATAGGAGCGGGAGGGGCCATTGTTGCTCTATCAAATCCCGAGGATGAGTATAATGAAATGTTACTGAAAACGCGAGCACCAGCCAAGGCAGTGGTTGAATTTCAATAGAATCAGAGTAAACATTGTAGAATATTAGGAGTCTGTTGTACTTTTATCCTTTTTACATCATACAAGCAGACTTAGATCTGGGGAGACCTGAGGAAATCCAGAAATCTCTTGTTTTCCCTTTTTTTGTCAATAAAGATATGTTTCCCCTTTTATTGAGTTCACATTCATTTTGTCAGAGGTAAAAGTTTCTTTTTCATTGGTGCGAATGTATTCACAGTCCAATGCCAAGACGATATCCGAAAGCTGATGCTGTTATTCTTAAAATAATCAGCAGAGCATGCCTGACAGTATTGAAGAAACGTCCAACAAGAACATACATCTGAAGCTGAAGTGCAGGTGCTCTATAGTTGATATGATTATTGCCAATTCATGTTGGAACTTTGTGCATGCTGGATTGTGAGTGTAGGTAGCAATCTGGATTCTGGACTAGCAATTTGTTCCTGACAATTTTACCAATTTTCTGAATCCTGCGAGTAAGAGGAAGAGCAGTGACGGAGCCAGGAATTAAAATTAGGAGAAGAGCAATGACGGAGCCAGGAATATAGGGAATTAAAATTAAGCGAAGAGCAATGACGGAGCCAAGAATAGGAGGGAAAATTAGGAGAAGAGCAATGACGGAGCCAGGAATATAGGGAATTAAAATTAGGCGAAGAGCAATGACGGAGCCAACGGAGCCAGAATAGGAGGGAAAATTAGGGCGAGAAGAGCAAATGACGGAGCAGATATAGGAATTAAAATTAGGGAAGAGCAATGACGGAAGCCAATAACTAGGATTAAAATTAGCGAGGTTTTAAGAAAAAATTTGCGAGAGTTCGAAGCGAAATGAAAAATTTATTTTACGAGGGACGAAGATAAAAAATTTATTAATATGAGTGATTTTTTTTTTAAAAAAAATATTTGTAAGGGGGGACGGGTCACCCTTAGCTGCTCCTCATCGAGGCCAGAGGAGAAGAAAAATTATTTTATTGAGATGATGATATATGATTAATGGACATGGTTTTTTGGGTCTGGAATCTTTGTATGGGAGTGGGACGCGCGCGCCGTTAATTCTTCTTGTTTCACGCGATTTTGACGTTCTAGACTTTTATAACTTTTATAAAAAATAATATAAGAATAAATTTAACATTTTCTTTTTTCAAATTAACATCTTTTATCAGTTTTATATAGTAATTCGAAAATAATAATTTCTATATAAAGTATTCTTCTAAAAAAATTTATTAGTATTTTATTTATGTAAAATACATTTAAAAAAATAATATATTTACTTTAAAAATTAAAAAAGAAAATATGCATAACTTAAAATAAAAAAGACTAAGATGCACAGCATCAGTCTTAACGCTAAGCGACTTCAGCTACATCGCTGAGAGGACTGTGACTAAAATTAATTATTGGTAGTGTAAGCTGTTTAGTGTATTTTATTTGAGAGTTCTTACTATAAAAGTTAAATGTTACATAGTAACGCAAATGAGTTAATTTCCAAAATATTTAAACGCTATATTAGCTCAATTACTATCCAAAAAAAATGTCTAATATTTTGAGGTCAAAAAACTAAAAGCTACTTAAAAGCTGTCGTCAAAATACAACCTAAACCAAATCAATATCACCCAAAGACTGTTTCTGATGTATATTTTCAATCATTAATCTATGGTATGTTTTTAAGTGATTATTTTGATTACGATCTTAGACTCTTCACCAAGGAATTTTTAATGTAACTACCTGTGTGCTTAGGTCTGTATTTATCATTCTTAGGAATAGAGTAATTATGAAACTAAATTAAAATTCTTCTGAAACTTTCAATCTTGTGCCATAAAAATAAATAACTACTCCCGTACTTTATATTTCAAACCTTTCTCTGTGCCTAATGTTTATTATTTAGTTTTCTAAAACTTTATCACTTTTGCCAAACAATGATTAAAGGAGGCAAACCCAAAATTATTTTGCTAATGAGGTGAACGGATGAGTTTGGTCTAAGATTCCTTCGATTGCCTTCTTACTCAAGATAGGGAATTTATTGGAAGTTTAATAGTTATTCAAAACGGTTAATTTTATTAAAATTTTTTAATATTCCTTAGTTAAAAAAAAAAACTAACCAATTCCAGTCGGATAATCCAATTGAAAGTGCTTAAACTGCTTATATCTCAATACATTTTAGAGAAAAATTAAAATTTGATATTGAGTTATAGTACAATCAATATACAAGAATTTTTATTTTTGGAAAATTAACGATGAGATTTTTATAATTAATTAATTCCATTGACCTTTGTCCTTTATATTCAAAATTAAAGGAACTAAAAGTGTTAATAGAAATCGTGAGGGATAATTAAAAATGTTAATAAAAAATCATAAAAAATTAGAATTTATAATTAATTTTTAAAAAATTAAACTCTGTAAATTTTATTTATTTATAACTCAGATCAATTTATTTTTTTCCCTACTTTTTATGCTTACTAGAAGAAAATTTTTCCCTTTCATGACCTAATTCTTACTATTTTTCTTTCTTTTTTTTTTTTTTTATTTTTTTTTTTTTTTTTTTGTAAATTATTGGGTAAAGTCATAGAGTTTAAACAAATTACTCACCACCTACCACTTAATTCCAAAAACACTTAAATTGGCTGTTCCGTAACCAGAAGTAATCACCTACACCAGAAAAAACCAACTTGAAGAGTTGGGGGTAGGTAGCCACTGACCTTCCAAATAACATAACCACAACCACCACCATCCAACCACATAGCCCTTACTGCAGCTTTCTACCCCGACCCCAAATATTGTTTTCTTTTTTCTGTTTCTTTTTCTCTTCTGGGGCTTAATTTGTCAATTGTTCAATGGCTTCTTCTTTCCTCTTCTCTTTGCATCAAAAGCCCTTCTTCGGCGCTTCCAAGCTTGACGACTTCCTGTCCATCCCGGAAGTTCTCATCTCTACAGTTTCAAAATTTTCCTTCCTCCCACGAACCCCCAAAAAGCTGCGTGAGTTTTTATTTCCCCGTTTGTAATTGGTTCAGCTTTTAATTCCATTGATAATTATTAACAAGCTTTGTATTCCAAGAGTTTCAAGGTCTACAATTTACTATTTTTATGATTCTGGACTTCGACTTCCATGTTTTTCTTGTCTGTTAATTGATTCCCAGTGATGGCTTTTTTTCAATGAGCATTTAAGATAGAATAATAATAGGATTCTGGCTAGGAATGCCAAGTTTGATATTTGAAAATTGATGGGAATCATTAAGAAAATTGAAATAGGAGGACTTATTCATTCTAGAGAAGAATGGCGTTTTTTAGTTGACTTTTACACGAAGTTTTGCACAAGCAAACTATGCAAATGGAGGAAATAGCAAAGATGCCTATCTTTTTTTTTTCCCTTGCTCATCTGTCTCCAATCATTTTTTGGCGGTTAAGATGTGTATCGTTTGTATGTTGTTTTGTGAAATATATGTTGGTGTCTTTATAAAACTATTGCTGACAAGGCTTTTGTTTAGAACTTGATTCTTGTCATCATTCAAGTTATTTGTAATGTTATTTTTTTTTTTTTTTAGCAAAAGAATTGAAAATAGAACAAAGAAAATCGGAAATTAGAAAAATTTAAAATTTTTGTGATCCGTGAGAAGTTAATGTGACAAATGATATTATTTTGAAAAGAGAAAATCGGATATAGATTGGTTTAGAGAGAGCAAACGAGTCATCGAGGGTTAAAGACCTGATCTGGTTTCAAAAGATCAATCACATTGGTTTTGGAGAGAAGAATAGCCTGCTTAGAGAGAAAATTAAAATCTTGCAAACCTTGCGACAGAAAGTGATACCTTTGTGTGTGTATGGAGAGAGGTGAGATAATAGATTCCCATTTTTTTTTTTTTAAATCTTTTTGGAATTTTGATTTACCTTTCTTTTTAGGATTTTTTGACAACCAATGATATTTTTCTCAGCTAGGCAGCCAGTGGTATCTGTGTATTGACACTTGCCAGATTTTTTTTAAAAACCTGTGGTCTTCTTTTTTCATTTTCTGTTGGAGCACAATTTATTCTTAGTTTTAAAGATAAGGGGATAAACCCCTACCCCTCCTTGAATGCTTATGGGCATTGACCACAAATCCATATTTACTGAGCATGAATTTTGGGGCTATAGAAGCTAACTGACATAAATAATTACTTTTGAAATTTTGTTTGAAAGATTTGCAAAGTTTGGTTTGCTTCTTTCTCATTTTTGTGCCTGCTCACACAGAATACATGCAAAGGCGGGGAGCACCATTTTTGGCACTCATTTTCGTGTTACAAACTTTTGGAGGTCCCATGGAGGCTGGTGTTGGTTGTATAGTTGATGCGATGCCCTCCTTCGGATCCCTCTCTCAGAAGATGATTTGCAATTCGATCTTGATAGGAGGTATTGAGAGCAGGTGTAGAAGTAGATCCCTTGGAATTACATTGGGAATTTGGTGCATCATTTGATTACTTTTGTGCTCGTCAGTAGCTTGTGTATATGAAATGCAAATGGTAGCTTTTCGTGTTGTCATCATTTATTTTTGATCTCTTTTGTTGATGTATTCTTCCTTGAGAGTAATACAGCGAGAAGCCAAAGTCGAATTACCACCCCTAGAAAAGAGACTGATTACATGCAAGATATCTTCAGGTGTCTATGAAGGTTAGTGTGTTCAGCAGTAATATTCAACTGTCTCTTTTTGTTCTTGGTTGGTGTTCTGGTCAGCTAAGACACCCATCCTTTCTGGTTGACCATGCATGTTATATTACTGCAGGAGTGCGGATGGATACACCCATCCATGTGTTTGTACCAAATACTGATCAGAGAGGACATGTTGAGTTTCTAGTGTTACTGTGTTAGAAAACTTATTTGATTGTAAAAGTGCGAAAATTTAAGTTGAAAATATGAAATCATACTGGAGCGAGTCCAGTACTCTACCTCATCATTTTCTTCAACGAATTGTAATAAACAGATTGGACCTAAACTTCCTACTACCGAACATTAAAGAGCTCAAGATGTTATGAGTACTTTTTTAAACTGGGGCAAAATTTGGATATATAGTTTACCAACTTCACACTTTTTTCTTGCAAAGAACATGGTTGGCATAAGTTTTTCTTTTTGGGACTTTCAGGCTAGGAGAGTCTTTTTAATCCTTGTTATCGTATATTTTTTCATGGTGGGTAATAGCCTATCT